TTGGTGAGTCCAACAACTCAGATAATGACGATTCCCCGCACCTCCGATTAGCACGGTTGGCTACATAAGGTGGGAAAGAAGTTCAACATACAGTACATAGATACTTGTACATACAACTCGCCGGTTTTAATCACGGGCGGCTGAAACCTGGATTCAAACCCAGCATTTCAGCAGCGGTGCCAGCTCAGAGCTCTGACCTCTGAGCCACCCGGCCACCCCCAGAGGTTTTGGTAATTGAGTTGGGTGGTGGTGGTGGAGGGTGGGCGGCTTGGTTGTGTTGCATTGTTGCGGTCGCGTTTTCTCTGATTCAGAAGCACGGTACGGGTGGCAGCTGCACTCTCACTCACAGGACCATTCCCCCAACAGGAGCAGGCGCCTGCCACACGCAGCGCAACAGTTCCATCTACAGCTCGGCGGCTGCCACTGATTTGAAGGCACGCAGGGGGCTTCATTTCAGCCCCCGTGCGTCCGTGGTTGTACAGCGACGTGGTTAAAGCTCGGAGAGCTAAACGGAGAGCTCGCATGCAAACACGTGCTTGTGAAAGGCCCCAACGCAGAAGTTCCCTGTGTTTGATCTTCCACGAAGCTCACGGTCCACCCTAAACAGCATCCACTGCACAAACCATGGCAGTCTACGCCGCATACCTGATGCACAAATGGAACATTAAAAAAACTCTCCAGTAGTGTGCGACTGTGAGTCATCCAGAACAGACCGTGCAACTTTTAATAACGACGCTAAATGCCCCGATCCACAAACCCCGAAGGAGACATCGCGGAGATCCACTCCGCTACTGCTCCTGACGCTGTTGTTCTGCCTTGACCACCTTGAATGTGAGATTCTAGTCGTTGTTCTTGCATGTTACATCGGCAGCCATACGAAGCGACGTGAAAGCACATCCAGTATACTGTACATACCTCACTGCTGCGTGTCTCTGGAGACTCGTCACGTGTCCCCTACTCTAGTTTATACCAGCGACCCAGAACATATTCAGTGACAAATTAAGCACTGTGCGAAAGTCTGGACCTCTGTGAGTCTATGGGTTTCTATCAGTCTGTTTGTCTCTACGTGAGTATGTAAGACGCTGGGTCTCTCCGCAAGTGTATGGTTCTCTGGAAGTCTATCTGTGAGTGTATGTGAGTCTATGTAAGTCTTTGGGTCTCTGTGCGAGAACCACAGGGATTAATTTCGGCAGGGTCTGTCGGAGTGAGCAACCCGGTAAAATATATTTGCATGTGACACCACATCCAGCATACCTCTCGCTATGGTTGTGAAAACCTGCCGTATGCATGCCCACATTCCAGCATACCAGCGACTCTAAATGTACATGGAAATAAGTTAAATTTTGGGTATGTGCGCCACCCACTCAAACAATTTTGGCCAAAAGTCCCATCAGCATCATCAGCATTATTATCCGATTTGTTCACTCATGCATTCATCCGAGAGCTGGGCACTGTGGTGCCAGCAAGGGATGGTGGATCACCGCACCAACGTTGTGAAGCTCCCCTTCCCGTGGGCGTTGGGGAGGCGCCGGTACCCTAGGGTCGCCCGGAGGTGATACAGCAGAGTGCAGACTAATATACCAGGTGGTGATACAGCAGAGTGCAGACTAATATACCAGGAGGTGATACAGCAAAGCGCAGACTAATATACCAGGTGGTGATACAGCAGAGTGCAGACTAATATACCAGGTGGTGATACAGCAGAGTGCAGACTAATATACCAGGTGGTGATACAGCAGAGTGCAGACTAATATACCAGGTGGTGATACAGCAGAGTGCAGACTAATATACCAGGTGGTGATACAGCAGAGTGCAGACTAATATACCAGGTGGTGATACAGCAGAGTGCAGACTAATATACCAGGAGGTGATACAGCAAAGTGCAGACTAATATACCAGGTGGTGATACAGCAGAGTGCAGACTAATATACCAGGTGGTGATACAGCAGAGTACGGACTAATATACCAGGTGGTGTTACAGCAGAGTGCGGACTAATATACCAGGTGGTGATACAGCAGAGTGCAGACTAATATACCAGGTGGTGAAACAGCAGAGTGCAGACTAATATACCAGGTGGTGATACAGCAGAGTGCAGACTAATATACCAGGTGGTGATACAGCAAAGTGCGGACTAATATACCAGGTGGTGATACAGCAGAGTGCAGACTAATATACCAGGTGGTGATACAGCAGAGTGCAGACTAATATACCAGGTGGTGATACAGCAAAGTGCAGACTAATATACCAGGTGGTGATACAGCAGAGTGCGGACTAATATACCAGGTGGTGATACAGCAGAGTGCAGACTAATATACCAGGTGGTGATACAGCAGAGTGCAAACTAATATACCAGGAGGTGATACAGCAGAGTGCAGACTAATATTCCAGGTGGTGATACAGCAGAGTGCAGACTAATATACCAGGAGGTGATACAGCAAAGTGCAGACTAATATACCAGGTGGTGATACAGCAGAGTGCAGACTAATATACCAGGTGGTGATACAGCAGAGTGCAGACTAATATACCAGGAGGTGATACAGCAAAGTGCAGACTAATATACCAGGTGGTGATACAGCAGAGTGCGGAGTAATATACCAGGTGGTGATACAGCAGAGTGCGGACTAATATACCAGGTGGTGATACAGCAGAGTGCGGAGTAATATACCAGGAGGTGATACAGCAGAGTGCAGACTAATATACCAGGTGGTGATACAGCAGAGTGCGGACTAATATACCAGGTGGTGATACAGCAGAGTGCGGAGTAATATACCAGGTGGTGATACAGCAAAGTGCAGACTAATATACCAGGTGGTGATACAGCAGAGTGCAGACTAATTGTAATGTGTGTGTGTAGTCCCCTCGCAAGTGTGGGTTTTCTCTGGTTTCCTCCCACGTGCATAATCACTCGTTAATTGGCTCGGCCATATCCCGATGTGTGGACTACAGAGGACCGCAGAGCTTGGGGTAAATTGTTTGCGATGGCTCATCGCGTGGCTTAGCGCAATCCCGCTTCAGGGCTGCGGTTTCCTCGGCAATTGTGACGTGCGATTTCCATGAACGACGATGCAATATTAAAAACAACTAAACAACGTGATATATGAATTATTGTAATCTGGGCTTCATTTCCCAACGGATATTTTCCGGGCCACTGGTGCAACCTGAGCGAGATGTATACTTGACGTGGTGGGTCGGGTAGATAAATATTTCTTTTTGGAGTCATCGACCCGGACATATCCCAAGCTACCCTTGCTTGCTATTCTTTGTCGGATTAATTCCGTGTCCTGCACACAAAGCACACTTACTTAAGTCAATATGATGTCGTTAACGTACCGTATGTCCGCTAGTCCACTGGTTTTCTGAGACCGACACGGTGCTAAATCTAGATTCAACACCATAAATCTTGCATCCGCTAATGGACGTCTCAGTATGGAGTGCGGGAGTTCAGACAAACACGCGCACGCACTCACAAAGCCAAATCATCACTGGGATCAGCGCTGCCATGTACATCTAAAGCCACGTTTTGCCATTATTTACCCTGAACACGCACACGCTTAGACGTAGATTAAAGCAAAAAAATGCGCAGACGATGCGTCTCCTTCCCATATTCGTATCACCAAATAAAAAAAAGATGAATCTATATATTTACACAACCTATCAGCCCCACGGCCCTTCTGTGGGTGCATCATTTCAGCAGCCTTGTTTCAAGACAAGCAAAACTCTAGACTGCATTTTGACATGCAGTGTATCATCGGTATCAGAGGCAGGCTCGCTTGACTCAATACTGGTGAGCAGGCCGGATGTTAGAGGTGCTAAGGAGAGCCGACACGACGTTGCAGGGGGTTTGTCCAAGAAGGACCCCCCCCCCCCCCCTTGTATTTACGATATCGGGTCTCAGTTCGACGCCAATTTACAAAGTTACACACAACTAAACATTATAATTGAGGGTCAACATTGTAAAAGATTGTGATTGCTTTTCAACGTTCCAATTTGCCGAATAGCAATATCAATTGGCGTCTTTGGCCACGTGCTAACTTTATTTTTTGTTTGCCCACGTGACAACTTGATTTTTTGTTTGCCCACGTGACAACTTGATTTTTTGTTTGCCCACGTGACAACTTGATTTTTTGTTTGCCCACGTGATACGTTGATTTTTTGTTTGCTCACGTGATAACTTGATTTTTTGTTTGCCCACGTGACAACTTTATTTACTGTTTGCCCACGTGATAAGTTGATTTTTTTGTTTGCCCACGTGATGTTGATTTTTTTGTTTACCCACGTGATAAGTTGATTTTTTTGTTTGCCCACGTGATAACTTGATTTTTAGTTTGCCCACGTGATAACTTGATTTTTAGTTTGCCCACGTGATAACTTCACTTGAAAACTTGTCTCTCTCGGGTGACGGAGGTTAACAGCTGAACATGTACATCATATATTCCCTCGATGTGACCCAAAAGTAAAGAGATACAAATCGTATTGGTCTTAAAAATCTACAAAAATAATTATTAACTCGCGTTATTATCTCCTTCCTATGTCCGTCTCTCCACCTAAAACACACAATAGACGATTTATAACCTATCAAGTGCGAAAAGGGTCGTTTGGGAAATGCACTGTATGTAAATGATTGTGTGAATCGTCACACGAAACCTACACTTCACGCTTCCTCAAAGGGGGAGGGGGGGTTAAATGTGCGTGTGTGTGCTCGCTAACAGGAGCTACTACTACGGCCAACACCAGTGACGGAATATCTAAATAGGCCCTGGGCCTCACCTAGATCGACTCAGCCTCAAATCAATACCTGGACTGGCGTGTAAACATCGCCACTGGGGGAGACAAAGGCGGCCGGGCGTGGTGTTGGCCACTCACCCCCTCGTGTTACCATGCCGGCCGTCATAGGTGCTCACTAACAGCACCTGCCCCAATATTATGTTAAGGTTATACGGGGGACCTTTGTCTTTGTGGACGCGCGCGCGTGTGTGTGCGTGCGCGCGCCCTCTGAGTCTATTCATAAATACACGTTTGACTGGGTTGTCCGGGTGGGTGGGTGCTTGCCAGGTAGCTCTTTGGCTCGGATGAAAGACTCAAATTACAAAACGCTGAGAAAGAAGAAGAAGAAAAAAAGCCGTCGGTCATGACAAGCGCCCAGCCAGTGCTGCCTTCGGGTAAGTCGACGCCGCTCTTATAAAATCCTTTAAAAACGAGTTTCAGTTTTTTTCAGTTTCATTTATTTGGTATAGCCCTGTGAGCCTTTCGGCTCTTGAATCGGGTGCAACCGCAGCAAACAAAAAAACCTAAAACATGAACAAGAAAAACATCTTAAAGGGACTACGCGAGTTACCAGGCAAGCAAAAGAAGCCCAGCCGCGCATGAACTCGACTCGCCACTGCTGCTGCGATGTGTAAAGTCTTCACCACCGCCAGCACCGCCTGCCCTCCACCATCGCCGCGATCTCTGACCGATGCCGTAAATAGGCATTACGCAAACTTCATGCCGCGAATTCCTCCGCAACGCCAATCTCTGAAAGCTCACATTCCGGTTGGCGCGGGGGAGGGAGAGGGGGTTCCACTCCTTTTTTTTCCGCGATGCGTAAACACTGCGTAAAGACACGCCGGTACGTGCTCGTACACACACCCCCCACCCACGGTTATCTTGGGTCTCAGTCTGTAAAGTTGTTGGAACTCGTCCGCGTGCTGTGGAGCTCGACTACCTTAAGTGACTACTTCCCTTGCGGTACGTACACTAGAAGCAGGTGGCTCTCTCATTGTGATCACCCGACCTCCGCGCATAACCCACGTGTGTTAGCGGCGAGCTCGATGCGCTTCCTGTTGGACGTCTCTGAGAAGTCGCACGTACGTGGAGCGCGTGTTGGTACGCGCGTGTTGGTACGCGCGTGTTGGTACGCGCGTGTTGGTACGCGCGTGTTGGTACGCGCGTGTTGGTACGCGCGTGTTGGTACGCGCGTGTTGGTACGCGCGTGTTGGTACGCGCGTGTTGGTACGCGCGTGTTGGTACGCGCGTGTTGGTACGCGCGTGTTGGTACGCGCGTGTTGGTACGCGCGTGTTGGTACGCGCGTGTTGGTACGCGCGTGTTGGTACGCGCGTGTTGGTACGCGCGTGTTGGTACGCGCGTGTTGGTACGCGCGTGTTGGTACGCGCGTGTTGGTACGCGCGTGTTGGTACGCGCGTGTTGGTACGCGCGTGTTGGTACGCGCGTGTTGGTACGCGCGTGTTGGTACGCGCGTGTTGGTACGCGCGTGTTGGTACGCGCGTGTTGGTACGCGCGTGTTGGTACGCGCGTGTTGGTACGCGCGTGTTGGTACGCGCGTGCCGGCTCGGCCTTAAGTGAGCGAGAACCTGGTGCGGTGTGTTCGCACTCGGTGTGTACACATCCGCACGGAAGGGAGACAAAGGGTGCCGCTCACACCACGTGGTGCTGCTACCCGCTCGTGTGCCGTGCCGGGACCCTTCACAGGCGCTCGCGAAGAGCCTTTGCCCACAGCAATCTGTATAGATTTGGTGGGAGGGGGGGGGGGGTTGTGGTATGCGAAACGTCTGTACAGGATGTGTAGGCATTGCTATTGAGGTATTGTAAATGGTTGATCGTCATAATAGCCGCCCTCATAAATAATAGCCGTGCCGTCGTGTGTACACACGTCTCGGCGTGATGTAAATTGCGTTCCGTGCCGCGTACGTCGCAGTCGAAGCTGTTCTCCGTTTTCTTCTGCGCTCTTCCTCAGGGCCAGCTGGCAGGCGGCACAGCTCCCCAGTGCCACCACTCCGATCTCGAGACCACCTCTCGACGTGGACACAATCCCTCCGACAGAAGCCGCCGTCTCTGCTGTCACCCCCCCACGCGCACGCGAGAGGGCAATGTTCGAATTCCTTCGCAGGGGCTCGGAGAGCTGCGCGGACGTCGCGTGCACTCCCGACTACTCGCACAGCGCCGAGGACCACGGCTCCCTCCTGCTCCTCATCCTGAGCGTGGGGGACGTCGCCGGCGAGCGCTTGGGCGAGGCGCTGGCGCAGGCCTCCTCCGTCTCGTCCGTGACCGTGCCACGGTGCAGCAGGCCTCTCCGGGTGCGGTGCACGTCGAGGTACAGCCCCGAGGAGAGTCGATGGGGCGACCTGCAGGGCCACCGCAAGGTGGTCGGATTGATCGGCCTCGCCGAGTGCTCGGACTTGGACGGTGTGACCGACGCCGTGGAGAAATTCGAAAGTGCCAAGGACGACTACGGAGGCTCCGTGTGTGGATCGCGGCTCATCGTCTACGGGAGGCGGCCGGATGGGTGCGACGGCGTGACCTCGGACGTGACCGCGGACGTGACCTTTGTCAGTGAAGGCGGGCCATGCCTGGATCTCAGGGCAGAGGTCGAGAGGGTCGTTGTCTCCGTGTACGCGGCCCTCTGCTCCAGCGGCACCATGGAGGATGACGCGGCGATGTACGCCGCCCCCTTCGAGAAGGAGTCGCCCATGACCTTTGTTGTTGGCAGGTACGAGTTCGATCGCTGGACGTGGGTTTCATCATTGGTGAATCGGAATTTTCTAGCCGCTGATTAAGAGCCGAACATGGCTGGGTGAAGTTATTTAACGTGACTTTTATTCTCTATAATATGGTCAATTATGTAATCACTGCTTTAGTTTCATGGTAAGAATGACTTTTGAATTCATATATTTCCACCACTGCCCCCCCCCCCCCCCCCCCACCTTCACCAACCCGCAGAGGCCAGCATGGTGAAGTATTGTCAAAATTCATCATGGTGTGGTGGGGGCATTCACCTGTCGGTGAAATTGAGAATAGCTGGAATGTACTGATCATTCGAGTAGAGAAGGTCCTTCGTTTTGTTTCAATCCACCTTGTTTCATCAACGAATGAATTAACAAATTGTTGCCCTTACGTAATTCCCCACCCTAACTGTGAATCTCAAAACGCCCACGGTCAACCCAGGCAGCTCAAGAAGCGACGCCAGGGACGGATGTACAAGCGCCAGGGAGACGTGAGCCTGCAGACGGGGTCGCTGGCAGACGCCCTCATGCACTACCGCCGGGCAGCGGACACCCTGGGGCCCATTGGAGACACCGCATGGTTTGGGGGTCAGAGCAACAAACTCGTTTTCTTATTCGCCCCCTTGCCTTTGTTTTAAGTCGAAGTTATTTCTTTGTTGAAAAAATTAACTTCTTTATTTTATCAGGCAAGGTCCACTGAGCTCTACAGCTCGTTTTCAGAAGAGACCCAGCCACAAACCGATAGCTCAACGAAGTGGCTTGTCACGTGGAACTCCTGCAGCCTAAGCTTTCAGTCAAGACACAAGATTTAAATCTCATTGACATTTTACTCTACACCCCCCCCCCCCCTCCCGTGCCTCTATAAAGCCACAACAGCAGATCATTCTTTCTCACCTGATGACGGACGCTTGTGTTGCGACCGAAACGTCGTGTTCTATTTTTTTTCTATCTACGGTACTTATTTTACCAACCCTGCAAGGATGATGGCCTGCGTCAACCCCCCCAACTAGAATTTGAACTCGCAAGCTTCCACCTGTGAGCCGCTTGTTCTGCCGCTGAACCACCTGGCATGCTTACGTTTTTAGTTGATGGATCAATTCAAAACCATTCACCCACATGTGTATGCCTGTTGGTTTGCAGCTGTGTGCGTGTGGTAGATCTGTCACTATGATGATTATTTATTTGGTAGGTCTGCATACAGTATTTATATGGGCATATATTATGCATGTCGGGGAGCGATGGTGCAGTGCTTACTGTGCCATGCGAAGAACATGACGATCCGAGTTGGTTGCTGGCCACAGCCAACATTGGTGGTGAGCGATCTGAACTGGCTAGGAATTGGAACTCGGGTCACCGGATTCACGGTGCAGTGTATGAACACACTATGCTCGCACTCCACCACGATCGTACATTGCATTACGATAACGCAAGTCCGTGCTCTTGCAATCTACTCGCAAGAGCTATCGGGTTCCCGTTTCTTGCATTCGTATGAGGAGCGACAACCGTGACTTATGGTTTTAAATCTGGGGAGGTAAAATATGGAACCGACGTGCCAACGAAGATTACTCGGGAGTTCCGTGGCTAGATAACGATGAGAAATAGGCAGGTGGCATGGGAACGAACGGTAATAGAATTAACCGAGGTAGTGCAGGCGTCCATGGTACCAAACAGCAATCCAGCAAATGCAATCGCAACGCAAGTGGAAGGCGACAAAGGGTAGAGAAAAAGATGTGCTGATGGAGTGTAGGAGGAGGAGGCACGGGAGCGGAGAGGAATGACCATGGAGATGGAAACATTAGCAACAGATGGGGGTGGGGGATGCTGACGACGACGATGACGACGACGATGATCGGCAAGGGTGGAGGACTGCTGCTGCCATCGGAAGTCACTGTGCACAGCGGCCTTCGCAAAGGGGTAGTACAGGGAGGAGCTCCGTGGCACTCCCTCCCGCCTTTCACAACAACCGCACGCGCGCGCCAAAAGCCGCTCGAACAAACACGCCATCGTTCTTCATAGCAAACCAACGCGTTGTGCTGGGGGCTCGGGCCTATTTAATTAGATCGTGCGTCACCATGTGCTTTGGGGGGGTAGGGGGCGGAGAGGTTAGTTTCCTGCATGCCCCTTGTGTGTTTTTTTGTCTACAGCTGCTCTGGAGGGCCAGTGCACGGTCTCCTGCCTCTACCGCTCACAACAGAGTGGTTCCTCCGGGTGCCAAGAGAATGGCAGAGGTGTGCCGACGAACGGGGACGAGGTGGATGGGTCACGTGACGACGGAGACGGTGACGGCGGCGACGACGCCAATGAAGGTTTGATCGCAACTTTCTTTTTTGGAACTTTGTGCAACGACGCTGCTGCCACTTATTCACGAGATCGTTCGACCGTTTGTCAGTCGATTTGATTCAAGAGCTTCCGGAGTTGGAAACGGGATGCTGCTGCTGCTGCTGCTGTCATGGCGTGATCAGTCAGCGCACCGAAACTGGAATCCTATAGTTTTCAGGGTTTTTTTTCCAGTTTGATTTATTTTGGTAGAACCCTGCGAGCCATTCGGCTCTTGAATCGGGTGCAACAACAACAGACAAAAAAACAAAAACACGAACAAGAAAAGCATCTTAAAGTGACTTTGTGACTGTGCAAACAGAACTGTTATGGCACAGAATGAGAGGACAAATGTCATAAATATGCCTGGAAGCCCTCGCACCTTCAACATTAATGTTGCGATCGAAACGTTGTGGGTTTTTTGCTTCATGAAAAAAATATATTAGATGTTATTTTTATTTTATTTTCTATCTACGTGACTTTACCGAAAGAACCAAGAATATGAATTCCTGCAGTCACGAAAGTTTTAAGTCTAAACATTCACACACGTTGACGAAGCTCGGTTTCGGGTTAGATCACGGTCGGATCACCCGGCGCGGCAGGTTGAAGCAACGGTGCAAGTTTCCTAAATCGCCCCCACGTCTGGTGTCCCCCGCAGTATCCGTGAGTGTGCACCACACCGAGTCGATCGGTGGTCTGCTGTGTAAAACGTGGGTGTTCCCATTGTGGAAGGGTAGGCCCGGTATATCCCCTTGAGGGTTTCCGCAGAGCTCACTCCAGCGCGTAGGCCCATCTGGCAGCAGTGTCGCGAGCAAGAAACGTGCAGGGCCGCGCCTTTACCTGTCGCTTAAAACAAATACGATGGCTGCGACGTGCGTCGCGTTGCGCCAGGACGTCTGCGTGCTCCGTTGGCCCGAGGGATTCGCACGCGCGACGGTGGGGAAATGTGTTTGCCGTTTCAGTTCGGTCGGATGAGGCGATCCCGTCGCAGCGGAGGAACACGAGAAAGAGATACGACTACCTGAGGGACACCGCGTTACCGGTCGAAGAAATCATCGACAAGTACAAGGAAGCCATTGCGTGCTACTCGAAGGTAACGCGTCACGCGATCGCCTGCGCCGGACGTTCGAACGTCGACAATGTGTAATGGAGTTCAAGCGGAACGCTGTGATGACGACGACGACGACGAAGCCGCGTACGTGCAATTGATCACGTGCTTGGATTTCAACGTGTCACCGTTCCTGTCATCACTGTTACATTGATTTTATGGCTTTATTTTGGTGATTTCGAAAAGTTTTTTGGTTTGGCCATGTTTGCTTGTTGTAGTACGGAGTTAGACTGATTGCCTTAATCTAAGTTGTCTTGTGGTTGTTGTTGTTGTTTGACTTGCATCCCACTGGGATTTTTGCACACAGCGTTGGTGTACGGTGCTTTTTCTGGAATATTTTTGCCGTTTTTTCCTGGATTTTCTGTTTGCACAGTCACATAGTCACTTTAAGATGTTTTTCTTGGTCATGATTTTTGTTTGTTGCGGTTGCACCCGATTCAAGAGCCGAATGGCTCACAGGGCTAGACCAAATAAATTAAACTGAAACGACTACGGTGGAGGGGGAGGGTCTTGATGGGCGCAGACGAGGCCAAAATACCCTCAAGAGGGACTCTCTTTGTGGCTCCTTTTGTCAGCAGTGGTATCGGCATGAAATTGCAGTGCTGCAATTGTATCTTTTAAAGGTAATTATGGGCATGGTATCTCGCGCGCGGTGTGTATTGCGATCGCGTGGCCGTCTCGGCCTGCACCATCCACCAAGCCTTGTGTTGCACTCTCCAACCAGTCCCGTTGATGCCTGATTTTGTGTTGACGAGATGACAAAACAGATTGTGAACGGGTGAGTTGCTCCTCTCTGTAGACTGGGAGATCGTTGATGTTCGATGTTCGGTCGCCGTGTCCGTGACAGCATTGGTCGTGACTTCTCACCGAACAGAGTGGGCCTTGTGAAGGCTGCCGTTTTCCACTCTGTTTAATTTGTAACCCCCCAAACACTTACCCTCCAAACATTGGATCACAACAACAATTAAACATATAAAGAACGTTGCTATCCTGTCCAAGCATCTCTCTAGCACGCTGCGAAGTTGCGAAGTAACGGGCGAGTTTTTAAAGGTCACGTTCGAATTTTGAGAGGGTGAGAGATATATATATATGGGGGGGGGGGGACATCTCTTTGTCCTCAAGTAAATCTGGCAGCGAGTTCCAGGCGTCGGGTCAAGCGATTGAGAGAGGGCAACTTGGTCACGGTGTGCGCGCGCACTTCTGATCCGCGGGGATTCGACCGCAGCACCCGGAAATGGCCGTGCTGGAGCTGGAGGCCACGCTGAAGGCCGTTCGGCTGCTGCTGGACCAACGGAGGAACCAGGAGGCGGTCGCGCTGCTGCAGGAGATCATCCACCTGCAAGCGCCGCAGGTAAGCCCTCTCGCAAGCGGCGTAGCGGCACCAGCGGCAGTGGAGGCGGCGGCGGTAGCGTCAGCGGCAGCAGCTTCCCCTACGCGAGAAGCGGTGTCCTCTCTCTGAAGCCGACCACAGATCGGGCCATAGCTCGCCGGTGTGTTTTTTCGGGTTGTTCCGCGGCACTCTTCCTCACAACCTCTGAAAATGAAGAAGCTCCCTGCACGTGGAGCGAAATGTTGGACATCATAACCTCCGCAGGAAACTAAAAACGAAACTTTTTATTTTATCAGGTATGGCCCACTGAGGTATTAAGCTCGTTTTCAGAAGCGACCTGGCCACATATGATTGGTCAACGAAGTGGCGTATCACATGTAAATGTATAGCAGCCAAATCCTCTAAATGCATATTCATTCTAAATGTGGAGGGAAAAACCGAACAACCGGAGGACCTGGAGAAAAATCCACGCGACCACGAGGAGAACATGCAAACTCCAAATTTACAGGTGTCAGCGTCGGGATTGAACCCACGCCCTCCTGTATACCAAGCGAGGTAGTTAATATCTCCCCACCATGGCGCCCAGTCGGAGCACAGAGCAGGCTGACGTGAGCTGAGGGTAAAGACTACAACGGGCAGAAGTGGTAAAGCATATAGAGCAGTGGGACGAGGGTGGCTGCTGCATTGGCTGCAGCTGCACTGTTCAAGCTGCAGCCTGGTTACTCTTTAAGCAGTGGAGTAGCTCTCGAGAGTGCAGGCGGTGCAACTGCACCGTGGCCCACGTGCCTAAGGGGCTCGGGCACTGGGCTATGTAGAGGTGGGTGGGGGGGACATTTAATTCCCAACGTCGGGGTTCTTACAAAAACCATGGCGCTGCTGTTAAAAAAAAATCCCAAAGGGCCACAAAGGATCAGCCACAGTGACCAATCAGGAGCAGTTATAATAATAATATAATCAATCTATGCATCAAACTTTCATTTATATAGTGCCATCAGCTATAACATTGTCGCAGAGTGCTTCACAGGTACTGTGCAGGTGACGTTACATCAATAAAAGTTGAGTTACACGAAACAATAAATAAAGGCTACACATTAGTTACAAAAATATAAGAGATAACGTACATCTTTTAGCCCGATAAAAAAAACCTGCAACACCTTCGTATGTATGTTTAACTTATTTTGCTTTGTACGTAGCCAACTGTGCTAATCGGGATGTGCGGGGGAAGGACAACAACCTAAGCACACAACTAAGTTCCACGCCTGCCAACCCCTTATCAGTGCCCTACCTTATTAAACAACAATTCGGACCTTATTGGTCACCTCATGCCCCTATAACTCTTAACGTTCATCCTACAAAGTCCCATGAAAAGGGACAAACACAAACAAATAGGCAAAAACAACGATTTTTTAACTCGATTCCCCTGTACAAGAATACGGGTAACCCGTCTGCGTTGGCAGGTATGCAGTTCTAAAGAATTGAGTTTCAATGTAGATTAGTTAACAATGCATAGCTCCAGTGCCTTCCCCATATAATCGGAAGGAAGAGCTTTCCAGACTTCCGCAGAAGCGCATCTGAAATCGCGCGATGCGGTGAGACCGTCTTATTTCGACGGCTAGCGAAAAGCCGCTGCTGCTGCGAGGATGACGATGGTTTATCTCCTTGATGAGATCGGCCAGATATTGTGGCTCATTTGTGGCAAGCGCTTTGTGTGTAATGAGTGCGACCTTCCTTGTCAGATGGCATTCGTGGTGTGCTCCACATGAACACAACGTCAACCAGCGGACTTCACCATAAACACTCTGCATCCAGAGTCACGTGACCTACTAAACCGCACTGGGAATCCGCAACCTTGGACTGTGAACCCACAAATCTAGGCTATTGAACACGCAATACTGAACTTGCAACTCCATAAATCAGGACCACAAGACCACAAACCAAGACTCGGAATCATTAACCCAGCTTGGTCACTATATAAAACCTTTGGTCAATCACTCGGAGAACAGTGGAGTGCATGTCCACAAGACAGATGGTTCATTGATAAAACTCGGACACTCCGTTTGCTGTAGTGACGCTTTCAAATCGTCTGTCAGTAACATGCCATCACGATGACTCTCGTAATGATGCTACCCCGAGAGAAAAACGCGTACATTGACCAAAGGGGTCATACCAAAATCACTGAGAAATAAATCGTGCAAAGACAACCGTTTGCTCGTACGAATGCTGCCCTCGCAGCTACCCGGCGGCTTCCATCCTGATAAATGTTAACACGAGTTAATTGACCGACGACACCGTATTATATACAGAGGACCGCAGAGATTGGGGGATACTTTGGCACCGGCTCATTACTTGGCTGCTGCTGTTGCCGTTCCCCGCCCGCCTGTGGTTCCGCCGCACTCCTCCGAGTCGCTCGCTACGACGTTACAAGTTCAAATCGTAATTGTTAAATATTGCCGAGGATCAAACGGATGTTTGTGGAACACGTTTCAGGATCTGCGGAACGTACATTTTCTGTCTTCCCTCTACAAGGCAATTTCTGATCCCAGCTCCGGCTGGCAGCTGAGCCCGGCCTTGGAGCGGCGCTCGGCGGCGGGCGACGCGAGCTCCCGGCTACGCCGCCTGGAAGACCCGCGCGTCGAGCACTTCGTGGTGGTGTCCGAGCTATTCGCCCTCGCGGGCCTCGGGCGCAAGGCGGCCCTGTTCGCGCGCGTCGCGGCCACGCTGTGCGTCTCGTCGGACAACCCACAGCGGCGGGACTGGCGCCGATGCTACGGCCTCCTGGAGGGCGCCCTCGGCGGTCTGCGAGCGCCCAGCCTGGCGCCGGCGCTGCCCACAGGTGCTCGGCGGCGTGTCGGACGCGAGCGGTGAAATGAATCGCCGGGGGACCGCTGGCTTCTTGCCGGTGATCGTCGAGAGCCGAGCTCGGCTCGCGATTGCGCTTCGTGGAGTTCTGTGTCCGCTAATCCAGCGGTTCGTAACCTTAACTGCAGCCTGGCACCCGTTGAAAATGTATAATGTTAATAAATACATAGGTCTGGTGAAACAAAGTAGTTGTACCTGCATGGCCGTGCTTAATTTGTGTTTCAATGATTCATCCCAAAAAAATCTACAGGCGTGCGTTGCACCCCTGGTTAAGAACCACTGCGCTAATTGTGGTTCGTTGAGCTCCAGTGCCCATCATGTCAGGGGATCGGATTGCCGCCTCTTGGATACAAAAACCACTGGGAGGTATCACACGAAGAAGAATATCTCCCAATACCAGGAGCGTTGAGAATTACTTGTAAATGCGTTGTCATCAGTGGTGCGCGAGTATTATTATGATGATGCATTATGCAACTCGCACGTACTGGGACTGGTCGTGTCCCGGGAAGGCTTACACATTTCCCAGTACATCGGCAACCTCCACAAGAAGACAATCCTGGGACGGCCAGGACAGGTGGCAATGCTATCACGGGGGTGTCACAGCCTTAGCTTGCATACACAGTGGGTGAGAGCGAGGGCAGAACGCACGCACGATGTCGCGCCCTCTGTTTAGCGTTCAAAGCTTGTTTGGGGTTTCTTTAACAGTGTCTGTATGCCCCCCCCGCCCCCCCCCCCTATTTCATTAAGCAAGGTCACGGATATGAGGATGTTGAGCTCTGTTAGCCTTTGCTTGCTCGTTAAACTCGACGGGCCATCATTGCTCAACGAAATCCCCTGGGCACCTGTTATCGTCTGGTTCTCCCGTGTCTCTGGGACACTGTCCGTGACAGCCTATTAAGCAGCTGGCTAAACAATAATGGCTATTATAACAAGACGTTAACAATTAAAGTGATGGACCGTTTATATAGGTATAACAAATGCATCGTTCACTGCAAATGTACCGCACGTGATGATGCAAAACAAACAAACGTTTAAGTTAATTGATAAATAATTGATTAAAAAAACAAGGTCGCGCACACATTGCGTGCTAATATCGACGCCGTCGCCGGAGTGTGGGTGAGCATGCGTCCCCCAGTGCGCGTGTGACACGTGGTGCGTTTCCATCTGGCTCCGGCTCTAAATCACGTCCCACACCCAACGGTGTCCAGGTGCAGACAGGCCGATTGCACTCATGAGACAGCGGGGTGCATCCACAGCCATTTAACCACTTGCACTAATCACGTTGGCCACACCTGATATGATTGTTGTGTTTTCGGCCGGTAACTTCCAGATTCTGGGTAACGGCGTCACCCATTTCTTCCGTTGCTGTCCAGTGGTGGCCTCCGAGCTCTGAGATTTCGTCTCTCGCATCTCTCAGCTGACCTTCAAAGTGGAGAGTCAAAGTGATTTTTTGTTAAACTCGAACGACTCAGCTTGCTGCATGGATCATTGGGGTGGTGCTCATCTCCTCTTCACGGCGCCGAGCCAGTGGTGGAAATTCCACATTCCTATGGCCGGGGGGGGGTGGGGGAGTCTCTCCATAGGACAAGCACTGTTGACTTCCCCACAAAGCGGTACTCATTTTAATGGCCGTAGAAGGATGATGAGCTGAGTCAACCCCAAACCGGAATTTGCGCGCCGCTCTGCTGTGCCACCTGGCGGGTTATTTTGGCGTGTCACTCATGTCAGTTTTGTACCGGGGGGGGGGTGAGGAAAGTACCTGCTCTCATTTATTTTTTCACATTAAGAATTTCCCCTCCTCGATTCCCCCCCCCCCCATCCCACAACGACTTCACAACCGAGGTGTCTGTTTTTCGCACAGGAGCAAGTGGCGGTGTGGGCTGGCCGTGCATCAGGGCAAACATCCTACAGCTGCTCTCCCAAGCGGCTTGGATGCTGGGCGACTACGCGCTGGCGGCCGGGCACCTGGCGTTCCTCATCCACGATATGATGGAACACCTCACCGCAGATGGTAACTCCCCCACCCCCCGTTTGTGTAGCACCAGCACAGCGCTCCCCTTGCCCGTTTTGTAAATATAAAAAAACGCGTGTTTTGCCTTCCATATTCTCAGCCACATCGATGGAGTTCAAATACCGACTGCTTTTAGATTAAATTATTAATAATAGCCTGTTCGGGCACTGGAACCGCGGTGTCCCGGATAGTATGAGGACCATTGATGAGACTAAGTTTTATATATATTTAAAAAAATCATTAATTTAATGGTTATACATGTTGTTTGTCTCTTAACCGTGATTCTTTAATATGTTACTGTTAGTTGTAATGACAGGTTAGAAACACTTGGTCTGCGCTGCTATCCATTTGCTCGCGTAAAAAGTGGGCTAAGTTTTTGCCAAATCCTGACCAGTTGGCTCAAAAAAGTGAATAAAACTAAACTAAACACATCGGACGTCAATTCGCTTTGATCTGCCGGCGCGGCAGTTTAGCAATCGGTGCAAGTTAATGATTATGCAACGTGCCAGGTACTCGATTTGAGGCCGAGTCTACCTAAGTGAGGCCCAGAACCCGATCGGACGTCACCGATTTGTATTTCAATAGAAGCCGACAGTGGTGTAGCGGTTGGCAGCGCACTGGACTTGGCATCCAGAGGTTGCCCGGTCGAATCAACGGTGGCGGCTTCTTAAAAAAATCTTCCCCCACCACCCACCGCCGTTGATTCGATCGGCAGGGCTCGCGTGGTAGGGTAAAGCGTGGGTACTCCACCCCCCCCCCCACCCAACCTCTTCGGAGGCGCGCGACCAACGCGGGAGAGGAGTCGGCCGCGTTGAGGCCAACTCGGCGCCGCGTCCTCTCACGCCGTTGTCTCGCGGAGACTCCTGCGCTGCCGGTAGCGGCGGTGGCGGTGGTGGTGATGGTGGGAGCGAGCGGTTGTTAGGGCAGCACACCCCTTGGCTTTCGCCGCGAGGACCAGGCAAGCCGCCACGACCACCACTCTCGCGTCTCGCACCGCCCAGAAACGAAGTCCGTCGCGGGGCAGCTGCGTCGCTGCGCCGCCGCATGCGGAGGGGGCGCGGGGCCCCCCGGGGGCGAGGGCGTGGGACCCCCGCTGCCTCTCGTGTCGTTCACTCGCCTTCCCATGCTCAGGTGGGCACTTTCATTTACTTAAACTATTTCAACTGTTTTAAACGCTTTTTTTTTAATTTCGCCAGGTGAGGGCCCTCTGAGCTGCATAGCTCTTCTTCAAAAGCGACCTGGCCACCAATGATAAGCGCAACCAAGTGGCGCTTATTGCGTGGAAATTTATGTTGATTCTAAATGTGGAGGGGAAAAACTGGGTGCACGTGGAGAACAATCCACGTGACCACAGGGAGAGAGACATGCAAACTCAAATATATACACGTGTCAGGGTCGGTATCAAACCCACGACCTCCTGCATACCGGGGGAGATGGTTAACATCCCATCACCATGGCGCCCCTTAAACATGTAGAAATACATTTTGATTTAAAGCTTTCGCGACTGCAGTGATTCATATTCTTGGTTCTTTCGGTAAAGTCACGTTGAAAGAACCACAAAGAAATACGCAAGTTGCATCTCCGTGGTTGAACACGTTGTGGTCGAGACGAAACGGTCGGCGTCTGACGGCGAGTCCCCGCCGCGGGGTCGGAGGAATCGACGGGTGACGTTCACGGTGAACGCGAACTCACCGTGGTGGAGTCCGTCACCTTGTGTTCGGTGGTGCGCGCGGCCCGCAGGAGCGTCGCCGCGGTGCGCCCACCGCTGCACCTCCTGCCCGTGCTGGAGGCCGTCACGCCAATCCGCAAGAACAGCGTGGGCTCTCCCTTCATCTACACGCCCATTAAAACGAAAGCGCAGAGACAGCCGGAGAACTTCGAGAAAGTCGGTGAGGAGCGCGTTACCGTCCGCGCCGCGCCGCGCTGCGGACCCGGCGACCCGAGTCCGCATCCCCGCTCGCGGCCAACACCGCTGACGATTATCTGAACCGGTCTTGGGTCTCCGCTAGGTCGACTCGGACCCAAATGAGTAACTGGTGCCGTATGTTAACTTCGCCACGAGGGAGACAAAGGCGGCCGGATGTGGTGCTAGCAACCCACTATCTGGTGTGCCGTGCCGGCCTCCATAGGTGCTCGCTAACAGCGCTTGCCCCAACAGTCGGTTAAGGTCTAAACGGGGGCTCTCTCTGTCTTTTTGTATGTGTACAGTCCTTTGCCAATCGGCTGCTGGATGAGGGCCTCCCAGTGTCCTGCAGGTCGTGGGGGTGCTGATTGACCATACTTCACCACGCTGGTCAGTGCGCGTTGGTGATGGCAGAGAGCTTAGACGTGGGAGCAAAGCAGTTCAGTACAACAAGTGGATTTTAGCTGCACTGCCTTTTGTGCTCACCCCACCGTTTCGCTCCGCAGCAGCCTATAGCAACCTGCTGTGCACAGTGGCCGCCCAATACAAATCAATCTGCTTAGCTTCGGAGGCACGACGAGTTACAGGTGCGTTCTGAGTGATTTGGTCATAAAATGCGCATACAAATACGGTGCGATCAATTTAAATATACCACGCTCAAATAGTTGCGAGAAAATGCATCGAAGACGTGTTCATTGCCAAGCCCTCTCTGCACGTCTCTTCCCGCCCATCTCAATATGCCTATTATTATAAAATTCCGTGACACTGTCCCGATGGACGTTGTCCAACACAGCTGGCGCGATTCGTTTGCAGCTTTCAAATGAAGCTCTGGGTCAATAGAAATCAGTGGGGTGTCTATAAATGTATCACTGTGAAATGCAAATATTTAATTTGCCACGGTTGCCGAGCACAGACCAAGCGCCCCAACACCACAGCTAAGCAGCCAGCAGCGAACGGCGCTGTGACGCTCGCGATAGATAAGAGTCGACGCGGCTCGTGAACCCAGCGAGGTGATCATATGGAGAGACGATCGGAGGTACATTGCAAAGTCGACAAGTCCGGCGAGAGAGGCAAGGGGGGGAACGAATGCGCCGGCTCGCGTCGCCTCCCCGTCGCTCACCGCGTGCGCTTTGGGAGCGGCGGTTATTGACGAGCCCTTCGTGGCGTCGAAGTGATGAGCCTCGGCGAGCGGAGAGGCCACAACAGTTCGCACGCAACTCTCTCTCTCTCTCTCGCTCGCGCGCGTGCATGACACGGAGAGGAGAACAATCCCTCCACACTCAAACTGCTTATTGAGCCAGTTTTTTTTGTTTGTTTGTTGCTTTGTTCAAATTTAAATTAAATCCTGCAAATGGCTGCGGTAAATCATGCAGCCCGAGAGCGCTCACGAAGGAGGGCCCCCACCCCCCAACACCCCCCCCCCCCCGGGGTCTCTGCATGGCCGCTCTGTATGGATCCTTTAACCCCTTTTGCTGCAGAGGTTTCATCGCGGTCTGGGACTGCACAGCTCCTCCGGCGTGTTGTCGGGCTGCGTGCCACGTGCTGTTCGGCACGGTGCCCGACGTTTCGGCCCGCTAGCTTGGGGGGAGAGATCCCCTTCTGGAATCGAATTATACGAGAAGCTCGTGTTTTTTTTTTACTATTTGTTGTTGTAACGGTCTTGCACGCCGACTGGACATCTGTGAAAAAAGAGCTTCATAGCTCAGCGGATTCCTCCGGTATAAAAAAATATTCTCACGTCGATTTTAAAGAAGCTGGCTCAGCTCTACGGCGTAACCACAACAACGAACCTACGGGGAAGTACGTTGGGACAAAATAAAAAAATCTAATTGAAAGAATGTTCGTAAACATCGATCAGTTGATTTTGATTAATCCATTCGCCGCCCTCTTGTGCATCGTTGCCGCTCCTTAGCCTCTCCACTACGTCTGTCCATCCCCACGTCGTGCTTGTGCCAACTGCTGTCTCCAATCTTAATCGGGCTCGAGCGCCCCCTCGGCCTGCGTGTTGCTGCTCCGCCAGCCCCCGCACGCCGCTTCCGGGGCAATTCTTAAAAAAAAAACAAAATGAGAATTCCGTGTCGAATCCTCGCCCATTTCACCACTGCCTCCAAAAAAACCAACGTTTTATTTTCTTCTTCACAATCATCATCAGCCATGGCTGATCCACTGTTGTTGGACGAAGGCTTCCCTGAGCCGTTCCCCACTTTACGCCGTCTTGCAGCGTGACAATCTAGCCGGCACCTGCACACCCGTTGATATCATCGCTCCGTCTCCATGACGGACGTTCCCCCCTTCCTTTGGCCCCTGCCACACTGAACGTCGAGTGACGTACATGTTCTGCCCATGCAATAACGAGAATTTCAGAATTAGAATTGGCCCAGGAAGGTCCGGCAGGTCTTGGTGTTTAATCATTGTTTCACATGGTTTATTCATTATGCCAGTCTATCGTTGCAGTGGAGAGAGGACTTGAGCGGTTTTGTCCCCGAGCCTATGACCCCTCGTGGCAATCCCTCGTGGCAATCCCTCGTGGCAATCCCTCGTGACAATCCCTCGTGGTAATGTCTCGTGGCAATCCCTCGTAACAATCCCTCGTGACAATCCCTCGTGGCAATCCCTAGTGACAATCCCCCGTGACAATCCCTCGTGACAAACCCTCGTAGCAATCCCTCGTGGCAATCCCTCGTGACAATCCCTCGTGACAATCCCTCGTGGCAATCCCTCGTGGCAATCCCTCGTGACAATCCCTCGTGGCAATCCCTCGTGGCAATGTCTCGTGGCAATCCTTCGTGGCAATCCCTCGCGGCAATCCCTCGCGACAATCCCTCGTGACAATCCCTCGTGGCAATCCCTCGTGGCAATCCCTCGTGGCAATCCCTCGTGACAAACCCCCGTGACAATCCCTCGTGACAATCCCTCGTGACAATCCCTCGTGGCAATCCCTCGTGGCAATGTCTCGTGACAATCCCTCGTGGCAATCCCTCGTGGCAATCCCTCGTGGCAATGTCTCGTGACAATGTATTGTGGCAATGTCTTGTGACAATCCCCCGTGACAATCCCTCGTGGCAATCCCTTGTGGTAATCCCTCGTGACAATCCCCCGTGGCAATCCCCCGTGACAATCCCTCGTGGCAATCCCTCGTGACAATCCCTCGTGTCAATCCCTCGCGACAATCCCTCGCGGCAATCCCTCGCGGCAATCCCTCGTGACAATCCCCCGTGACAATCCCCCGTGACAATCCCTCGTGGCAATCCCTCGTGGCAATCCCTCGTGGCAATGTCTCGTGACAATCCCTCGTGGCAATCCCTCGTGGCAATGTCTCGTGCCAATGTATTGTGGCAATGTATCGTGACAATCCCCCGTGACAATCCCTCGTGGCAATCCCTTGTGGTAATCCCTCGTGACAATCCCCCGTGGCAATCCCCCGTGACAATCCCTTGTGGCAATCCCTCGTGGCAATCCCTCGTGACAATCCCTCGTGACAATCCCTCGCGACAATCCCTCGCGGCAATCCCTCGTGGCAATCCCTTGTGACAATCCCCCGTGACAATCCCCCGTGACAATCCTTCGTGGAAATCCCTCGTGACAATCCCTCGTGACAATCCCTCGTGGTAATCCCTCGTGACAATCCCTCGTGACAATCCCTCGTGGCAATCCCTCGTGACAATCCCTCGTGACAAACCCCCGTGACAATCCCTCGTGACAATCCCTCGTGACAAACCCCCGTGACAATCCCTCGTGACAATCCCTCGTGACAACCCCCCGTGACAATCCCTCGTGACAATCCCTCGTGACAATCCCTCGTGACAATCCTTCTTGGCAATCCCTCTTGGCAATCCCTCGTGGCAATGTCTCGTGACAATCCCTCGTGCAATGTCTCGTGACAATGTATTGTAGCAATGTCTCGTGACAATCCCTCGTGACAATTCCTCGTGGCAATCCCTCGTGACAATCCCTCGTGGCAATCCCTCGTGGCAATCCCTCGTGATAATCCCTCGTGGCAATCCCTCGTGACAAACCCCCGTGACAATCCCTCGTGACAAACCCCCGTGACAATCCCTCGTGACAATCCCTCATGACAATCCCTCGTGGCAATCCCTCGTGGCGATGTCTCGTGACAATGTATTGTGGCAATGTCTCGTGACAATCCCCCGAGACAATCCCTCGTGGCAATCCCTTGTGGTAATCCCTCGTGGCAATCATCCGTGACAATCCCTCGTGGCAATCCCTCATGGCAATCCCTCGTGACAATCCCTCGTGACAATCCCTCGCGACAATCCCTCGTGACAATCCCTCGTGACAATCCCCCGTGACAATCCCTCGTGGCAACCCTCGTGACAATCCCTCGTGGCAATCCCTCGTGGCAATCCCTCGTGGCAATCCCTAGTGGCAATCCCTCGTGGCAATCCCTCATGGCAATCCCTCGTGACAATCCCTAGTGACAATCCCTCGCGACAATCCCTCGCGACAATCCCTCGTGACAAACCCCCGTGACAATCCCCGTGACAAACCCCCGTGACAACCCCTCGTGACAAACCCCCGTGACAATCCCTCGTGACAATCCCTCGTGGCAATTCCTCGTGGCAATCCCTCGTGGCAATGTCTCGTGACAATGTATTTTGGCAATGTCTCGTGACAATCCCTCGTGGCAATGTCTCGTGACAATGTATTGTAGCAATGTCTCGTGACAATCCCTCGTGACAATTCCTCGTGGCAATCCCTCGTGACAATCCCTCGTGGCAATCCCTCGTGGCAATCCCTCGTGACAATCCCCCGTGGCAATGCCTCGTGACAATCCCCCGTGGCAATCCCTCGTGACAATCCCTCGTGGCAATCCCTCCTTGCAATCCCTCGTGGCAATCCCTCGCGACTGTCTCGTGACAATCCCTCGTGACAATCCCTCGTGACAATCCCTCGGCCCCCTTTACCTGAGCTTTTCCCTTCTGCACACCACCCCATGCGTCCACTCTAAACGGCCAAGTAATGGAAATCGATAGTGACAGCGCTACTCTTACGCTAAAAGGCACTTGTTTCACGCTGACCGCTGCTCGCCGCGCTGTGGAGATAACTCTCTGTGCCAGAGAATTAAACATCACCAGTTTTTATGCGCACCGACAAATCCTTTTTGGTAAAACTAAAACAAAGATCCCCCTGAATAGCCATAACAGACTGTTAGGGCAAATGCTGTTAGCGGTCAACTATGAATGCCGGCCCGGCACACGAGGGGGTGGGTGGCCAGCAATACGCCCGGTCACCTTTGTCTCCCTAGTGGCGATGTTTACACAGGGCTCCAGGTACTGGTTTAAGGCTGAGTCGACCTAGAGGAGGCCCAGGACCGGTTCAGATAATCGTCACTGGTTTTGACCGTGAGCGGAAATCGAATTCGGGTCGCTGGGTCCGTAGTGCAACGTGCTAATCGCTACACCACCGCTCCCCAAAGATACGTACACAAAGACACACACACAAACACTGCCACGCATGCACTCGTTCACACACCGGCACACACACCATTGTGCTTTCTTACGGAAATTAATAGTCTGCAAACGGAGGTTTTCTTTTAAAGTTGAGGTTTGGAAATTACGCATATATATTTAGTTTTGCAGACAATGACACGTTCATTAATCTGTATTCCTCCAGGTTACCACAAAGAGTCTTCGCCAGAGAAGGGCTCGGAATTCTTAATAAACCCCCTGCAAATAAATGGAGTTTAATCGCCTCCTTTGACTTTCAGATTTCAGCACCGTGGAGAACGAGGGATTTCAAGTGGAGCTCATTGTCGCGAATCCGCTGCCGTTGGAGTTGCTCGTTGAGAACGTTGTAAGTGACGGATCGCCGTGCGCATCGCCACTGGGGTGGCGTTTACGAGTCCTTCCTTTTAGCGGTAGTTTGGAGATCGCGGTGAGATTAGTTTGGAGATTTAGCGACGTAATTTTGCCCTACGATTCATGCGCAAGTGCGTATGTAACCAAGGGTGTTGAGGTCGGAAAGCGCAGGTGGGTGGTGGTGGTTGTGGCGAGGGACTAATAAATTCTGATGAATACACCGGCTGGAATTCACACTCCACCGACGGAGTCTAACGTATCGAAGCCGGACTCGGCGAGAGAGCGCCTGTGGCTGTCGGAGCATGTGGCTGACTGTTGGAGGGCGTGGCTAACTGACTGTGGGAGTGCCTGGCTTACGGAGTGCGTGGCTGACTGTCGGAGCATGTGGCTGACTGTTGGAGGGCGTGGCTAACTGGCAGAGTGTGTATCTGACTGTCGGAGTGCCTGGCTTACAGAGTGCGTGGCCGACTGTCGGACCATGTGGCCGACTGTCGGAGCATGTGGCTGACTGTTGGAGGGCGTGGCTAACTGAATGTCGGAGTGTCTGGCTTACGGAGTGCGTGGCTGGCTGGCGGAGGGTGTGGCTGACTGGCGCACTCGTTGAACGCCGTGTGCTCTGCTGCGAGCGTGGCAGCTTTGTTCTTTATTGTTTTCGGGACATTAATTTTGGTAACGAAAAATGCATACATATAGCTGGTTTATTGGGTCACCTCGCACATAGCCATGTTGGAGGTAATGGATTCACACAGATAACGCTTTTTTTCTACCAACTTTTTATTTTACCAAGTAAGGCCCACTGAGCTTTACAGCTCTTTTTTCAGAAGCTACCTGGCCACAAATGATAGCTCAACGAAGTGGTTTATCCCTCCAAATGCGGAGGGGAAAACTGGAGGACCTGGAGAAAAATCCACTCGACCACGGGGAGAACATGCAAACTCCAAATATACAGCAGGCGTCAGCGTCGTGGTCGAACCCAGAACTTTTTGTATACCAAGCAAGGCAGTTAACATCTCCGCCACCACATTGTCACATCGCCTGACGGAATCTTCGGATGACGTAAGATTCCGGTAATCGCTGTTCGACTGACACCGCAGCAGTCTTGCGAAACCCGACACTCGTGATCTCACGCTGCAAAAAGAATCGCGGCGACGATGAAGGGCACAATGATCGCCCCCGCCCCGATGTAGCGCAGGCGCTCATGAGCGCCGTCTCGTCGCAGGAGCTGCTGATGGAGGGGCCCGAACGTGACGTCGTCCCTGTGTCCGCGACGCTGCCTGCTCACGGCGAGCCCTTCCCGCTGAGGCTGGAGGTCGTCGCCAGACAGCCGGGGCAGCTCACGATCACGGGTGCGCGTCTAGCGACGAACACCTGCACAGTTCACCGAGAGCACCTGCGCCACTGAATACGAGTTTTTACTAGCCCCCCCCCCACCCTCATTCTCCTCTGCTGCACCCATTGTCTGGAGAAGTCCCTTCCCCCAGCCTTCCCTGCTGTTGAGTGCCTGCCCACGTTACATAATCTAGGCTCAAGAACTTCCTGTTTTCTTCTGCATATGTCTGACTGCCCGCTGTCTCTCCAGAATATAAATACAACCTGCTATTCCCATACAGTTTAACAAGTAGGATTTCGCGACCAAAATTATCCATAATTAAAGGGGTTTTTTTGGGTTAGATCACGTAAATATAAATGGTGTTAAACCCGTTATGGTTATAATGACACATTTTCGCGATCTCACCAAAAATACATTTATTATTCCCATCCAGCGTCTTGAGATGTGGTCGAGATTGGCTGCATCTTTAATTACTCCGCCCAATCGGCTCAAGCTGCCTCCACCCTTCCCCACCTTCAACTTTCTTCATTTCACCACAAAAGCCCTCCCCCTTCCTTTCCAGTCATCAAGCAGTAACTTTATTTTTGTACTCCTTGGCCTCTTTTTTCCAACATCCTTCCTTCAGAGCTTTCTTCATTGAACTCTTACCTCAAATAATGTGCTCCATAACCTTTTCCTTCACTGGATCACTATAATTAAACTAAGCGAAACACAGACCTGTGTTTTATTGTTTTTTTTTTACCAGATAATGCCCACTGAGGTATGTAGCTCTTTTTTCAGAATTAACCTGGCCACAAATGATAGCTCAACGAAGTGGCTCATTATCACGTGGACATTTATAGCAGCCAAATACTCTCAAACGCATAAATGTGGAGGGAAAATCCACGCGACCATGGCGACAACACGCACACTCCAAATACGGATGAGGTGCCCCTAATTAGATGCGTCTCCTCCTGAAAATCCTCTTAAGAACTTACTCCATCCCGCTGGTGTTTTGTCAGTTTGAGAAAATCATCCGAAATTGAGAGACCCTCGCTCGAATAATAAATTCACACTGCGACGTGGCCCCTTTCACCACTCCCGCCAGGCTACCGCACCACGGTGCTGGGAATTTCCAGCGACGTTCCGCTGAAGAGCGTGCCGGGCCTTCGGCAGACCCGGCTGGAAGTGGATGTCGTGCCAGCCCTGCCAGTGGTAGAGCTCGGGGTCACCTGTGAGAGGTAATGGGAGTGCGTCAAGACGTGGCCTTGCGTGGAGTGGGGGTGAGGGGTCATGCAAACGCTCGAAGAGTCGCGGCGCGACACAGTCCATGCTTAACAAACTTTAGACAGGTATTTACGTAGGTATGTATGATGAACTTCTCTCGCGCCGTACGTAACCAACCGTGCTAATCGGAGGTTCAGGTGAAGGACAGCAAACTAAATACAAAAGCAGTTCCAAAGAAATTCGATTTAAATTTAGGTTTAAAAGTGCATAGCTCCAGTGGCTTCCTAATATCGGAAGGAAGAGCATTCCAGACGGTCGCAGGAGCTCATCTGAAAGCGCGCGTTGTAGTGCATCTGAAAGAACGGATGTCAAACGCCAAACAGAATGAGTGACAATGCAATCTGCTCTTCTCTTTTGTGCATTATCGCACCTCCGATTAGGACGATTGGCTACGTACGGTGCGAAATACCTTGAATACGTTCTGCTCTGGCTCTCCACCACCTGCGTGTATATGAGGAATGGCTGCGATGTCCATCGCTTAATTGCAGGCATCGTTTCATACTGCAGATGGTGCGTGGATCGACAATTACTAAACTGAAGCAGACTGAGCATGGGCACATTTTTTTTGTTCACAGTTGCGGGCGTTCGGCAGACTGTTTGAAGAAAATCCGCCACCGGTGTTAAATATTTTTTGACTTGGCAGGGGGCAGGGCTCGTCCACCTTCAGTCCCCCGAGGCCACGGGGATGGTTAACGGCCTCGTTACATCAGAGGGGGCCCCTCTGCGTTTAGCCGCCAACGCGGCCGAACGGGAAAATTTCCACGACGTGGAAATTGCAGAGCGAGCCACTTTAGGGGGCCCCCTGTTGCAGATGAACGGCACGTGATTTAGCTGGGCTGTCATTGCCACCGCTGAGCCTGCTAGGAAACACTCCCCGGGTATTTCACACAAGCAGCAGACGCTAAATCTTTTGAGCATCGAGTTTTATAACTTTTTCTTTATAAAAAAATGAAATCACCGTGATTTTTTTTTTCAAATGTACTTAAAGAATCAACGGTTTTGCTCAATCGCATGGTACGTTTAACCATCTGACCCCAAAAAAAAGTATCAATGGGGAGCGGGTGTTACGCTAGGATGCCAATTTGGCTCGTGCGCAATCATTAAAGAGCGCTCCTCATTTGCAGCGACGGGAAGAATGAATCATTCGTAGCAGCCCCAGGCGAGGAGCTGGGCCTCATGGCGTTTGACGGAGAAACTCGGCAGCTGCTCGTGACGATAACGAACGTGGGAACCGTTCCGCTGGAAAAACTTGAGCTGGACGGGGCGATGGAACGGACCCGCCAAGGTGATGCCGAAACCCCCCCCCTCCCCCCCTCGCCCCCCTCGGGCGCGAACCGCTCACGTGCAAATATCCCAGGCGCTGTCTGCTACCAATGCGCACTGAAGCCGATGGTCGTAACAGGAGGGGCCCGAGGCAGAGGGGGGTGGGAGCCAAAGTGGGAGAGGGCGGAAGGGGCGGTGGAGGAACCGCAATAAACAGGAATTCATCATCACGCCCTGAGAGGGCGTGGGGCAAATGGTTCTGCTTCTGCGGTGGTGGGAGGGTGGTGGGGGGGGGTTCTGCTTGGAGTAGAGCAAGTAGGATGGGTTGAAGCGCCAGATCAATGCAGGGGGCTTCAGGGATCTGCCGCCCCTGGTCTCATATTATGAGTAACCCTCAAACACCACTCGCCAAATTATGTACTTGTGTATAGTGCAATATTAGCGGCTCTTTTATAAATCCTATTGTGCAATTTTGTAACGAATTAAAGCCACAGCATCGCTACGTGTATTTCTACCGGTTATGCCACAAAATGTCCACTCTGAACTTTGATTCGGCTTCACAATTCGTACGTACTTGACATTCACAAAAACGAAACAAAAGAATCAAGCTGCATATCGGGGGGGGGACAGTTTGGCTTCATCGGGCATGGGTGGTAGTGAAACAGTCAAGGGCAATTTGTTGAACGTATAAAGAGGGTCCCCCCCTCCCCTCCCAGAACGTTAAGTGCTGCCCCCCCTTAAAGTTCAGCCTGGACCTGGTCTGCCTCAACTGGCTATCGCTGCGTTTAAACTAAACTTTTTGTATTTTACCGGGTAAGGCCCACTGAGCTATATAGCTTTTTTTCGTGACTGACCTGGCGACAAATGGTAGCTCAACGAAGAGGCTCATCATGATGTGGAATTTTATAGCAGTCGAATACTCTCAACGCATGTTGTTTCTACATGTGCATGGAATAACCGGAGGACCCGGAAAAAAATCCACACGACCATGGTGAGATAGACATGGGAACTCGGGATTGAACCCACGGACACTGCGCACCCCAGGCGATGCACTTAACATCTCGCCACCCCGGTGCGTTTGCCCGGCAGACGAGCCCTGTGAGCGGAGCGACGACAGGGTGTGGGCCTGGCAGCACGAGATGCTGTCCCGGTTGCCACTGCACGCCGGAGAGGCCCTCACGTTCTCGCTGCACGTGCACACGCTCATCGACGGCCCCTCGGCGGAGCAGCCGAGCCGGCGGGAGCCGCGCGGCCACGGTGAGGCCCTCGGCCCTCGGCGGTTTTCCTTCCCCGACGTGCAACGCGTTTTGCCATGTGCCACCGCCGCTGTGCGATGGCAAGCGCGCTGGACTTGTACGTATGTATGTTGAAGTTCTTTCGTACTGTTCGTAGCCAACCAGGCTAATTAATCAGAGGTGCGGTACTTGCAGCCTCAACCTGGCCGGTTTGATTCCATTCATCCGTTGAAACAACGGGGACCAGCTTCTCAAATTGCCTTGCCTCTATGCGCCTGAGAGAATATTTTAACGGGTAACGCCACAGTTTGTCGATTGGCAGGTCGCGTGTGGCGCGGCAAAGCGTGGGTACGCCCACCTCTTCCAACATTTCTTGTCGAAAAGAAAGAGTAGGCCAAATACCTTTCAGAGCTGCCCTCCAGTGGGGGAGGCCCTTCTGCCGGCAACGGTGTGAGTGAGCAATTGCAGTGCTGCACCTTTACCTTTGAAGGGTCACAGTGGGAATTGGCGAACGTGATCAGTAACTGTTCTGAAAAAAGTGCCCTGGCAAGCATCCATTAGGTGTGCTTGCATTATACACTAAGACAAATACACAGGTGACCTTTGGATATAACCGGGTAAGAGACCATTAGCGCACTGCGCAATGGGCCCTGAAACCTGAGTTCATTATTCGGCTACGGCTGACAGTCGGTGGCGAGTGTTTTCTCAACAGGTACACGGAGTACCACCTTCACCAGCCACCACTGACTTGCGTGGTGAAGTATAGTCAAACAACCCTCATGACTGACAATGGCTGACAGGTCTTCATCCCAGATATATTCATGTTTATTTCAATTCATTCCATGTTTAATAGTAGCAGAATCTGTAAGAAGTTATTACGTTTAAACAGAGATTTGCATCCGACCTCCAACAATAATTGGCTGTTTAAAAAAAAAAGATATCCACGCTTCCTGTCTAACAACTAAAACAAATTAACTATTGAGAATTTGTATTATATTCCTATTCAAGACATTACAACAAGTTTATTTTAGGTTCGCTCTTCAATGTGCTTTGTCGGCTTTGGTACGGAGCAACATCAGGATCTGAAATTCGGTTCACAACGAGGCACCCAGCACGTGGAGCGAAGCGTCGGACACCGTGCCGAAGAACACGCGGAGAGCCTCGCGCGATGGCGTCATTTTATTTGTTTACAATTCTCGATCTATCCAAGAGGTGGCAGTGTAGAGCCTCGTGGCCTTTTGAGACCACTCCAGGCGCGAATTCTCAGGGGAACGGCGCAACGAGCAAAAATCCATCAGCGATTCCCAACTCCCTTTTTTTCTTCTTCCAAAAGGTGCCACTCCCTGGGGGCCTGGACACTCTGGTTCCTAGACCACCCTCGTGAGCACGTGGTTACCGTTGCTCGTGGCGGAAGAAAAAAAAATCAAGAATGACAAACTTGGACACCGCGTTTGTGTTCTAAGATGTCTGGTTCTGTTGGGTTGTTGTTCTATTCCTCCCCCTCGCTGTTTATTCCGTTTTGTCCCCCAGCCCCGTTAACGACACCCCTACCGATCGTTACCGCTCCTGAGCGTTACCCCTACCGATCGTTACCCCTACCGATCGTTACCCCTACTGATCGTTACCCCTACCGATCGTTACCCCTTACCGATCGTTACCCCTAGCGATCGTTACCCCTACCGATCGTTACCCCCTACCGATCGTTACCCCCTACCGATCGTTACCCCTACCGATCGTTACCCCTACCGATCGTTACCCCTTACCGATCGTTACCCCTACCGATCGTTACCCCCTACCGATCGTTACCCCTGCCGTGGTAGGGCTGCGAGCCCGAACGCCTCGTTAATCCCGTTGCGCCGAGCATGCTACACGTCACACGTTGTTTTTCCCCTCCTTTTGAAATCCACATTGTATCCTGGGTTCTTTTAATGACAATAAATGTTGTTTTATATATATACACAGTATATATAAACTGTGTATATGTGTATATATACACGCAATATTTTTTTTTATAAAACGGTGCCCTTCTGTCCCCCAGACTGCGAGTGCCTGAGCCGGCCTCACGGTGCGCCTCAGGAGGCCGACGGGATGAAGAGACGAGCGGGGTCCCGAGAGCCAGGGCACGTTGACACGAAACAGCCTTTGAAGGTGAGAGACGGGGGTGGCCACGAGGGTGGCTCTCGAGACAACCAGCCGAAGCCACGGGCGTTCACTGCCTCCAAAATCTTAACGAGTGCCTGCGGCAGCGCTAGTCTCCCGAGGCAGCCCTGAGGCAATGGTGACGGAGGATTCCACGTTCCTGTGGTGGGTAGGGTTGGCTCCTGCCCTGGTTTCATGAGGATCGTCCCCTTCTTGAGACGACTGCTGTCCTGGTGAAGTCTCCCCAAGCCTTTCCGGGACATTAAAAGTCCCAGCTTTTTGTCGGTTATGTCCTGATGCATGACTCAGAACAATGTATATTGACGACACGTAGTTGTGCCCTCTCCTGCTATTTGTGAGATTTTGTTTCGCGTTCCCATCACGCGTATCCCCGGTTTTTTTTGTGTGTGTACCTCACTGGCGTCAACCCTTGTGACGTTGCAGCCAGGGGGACTGGCCATCCTTCTATTAGAGCTGTTTAGCTCAGTGGGACTTACCAGCTCAAATTATTTTTTTTGAAGGCCGAGTCTGAGCGTGAGCTTCCCGCAAATCGCTACTCCATTTGTAATAACCACCCCGCCCCCCCCCCCCCCCCGAGAGGGATAAAGGGCCAAGTGGGCCCTCGATAAAGTTTTGATCTTATAACGTTCTCCGTGTGAGGTGTGCACCTTGCCCCATGGCATCAGCCAGGCTGGTATCAAGAGGGCCTCAATATAACTTCCACCGTCTGTGCCTTGTGATACAAGGCACCTAAAAAAGAATTATAGCTTTCATGACTGCATAAATTACTCATTGTTTTTTTCGGTAAAGTCACGTATGTAGAAATACCATAAAATTATATTAATATAAATCAATCACGACGTTTCGACCGTGATTGATTTATTTTAATATAATTTTACGGTATTTCTACATACGTGACTTTACCGAAAAACCAATGAGTAATTTATGCAGTCACGAAAGCTTTAATTCTTTATTAACACACTTCTACGGAGAAGTTACCTTTACAATTCTGTCCTAAACGTATTGCACCCCTTGCTTTCTCCTACCCCTCCCCCCGCCTCTGCTGCCGTGCCCCCTTGCTCTCTTCGGCCCCCCCCCACCTCTACTTCTTATTTAAGGCCTCTGTCTGTTCATCCCTCCGGCCCTTTTTTCTTTTTCCTTGCTTCTCTGTCCGTCTTTCCTCTCCTTGCCTCTTGGTGTCCCTGTATATGTATTCCTGCTGACTTGTACCTCGTATTTGTTCACTCTGTCTATGCTGGTATGTTCAATCCAGAGGATGAACACGAAATTTAGCACTATTCTGAAATTCGTGGTCCGCGAGGCAAGTGTCTAACTGTGTTGTTGGCCTGACTGGTTTTGCATCACATAATTTTTTCTTAGGTTTATTGAATTCTCGTCTCTCATCTTCTTGTTGTATTTACCTCCGTGCAGTTTGGCGCTCTCTATGTGTTGCGTTGGTGTCGCCCTATATGCTCCCTCGATACAAGGCACCTGTTTGTGTCTTCCTAGGACTAGATGTAAGGTTTTTATTTACTTTAGATTTTACCAGGTAAAGCCCACTGAACTATTAGCTCTTTTTCAGAAGCAACCTGGACACAATTGATAGCTCAACAAAGCGGCTCATCATGTAGAAATGTAGAGCAGCTAAATACTTATCTAGGCATACCAGAGCAGAAACTAATGCCCGTACATCCCTCCTCTACCACCAACCACCCCCATCCACTGCACCCCGCCACCGCCAATTCCACTTAACCCCAGCCGAGCTGCTCTTCTTTTCTTCCCGAGTGCAAACTCTGCAGTCCGCATGGACGGACTGACAAAGACGGACTGGAACATCAGAGTGTGGTGCGCACCGGGGTGCCGGCCTTTGCCCCGTGCCCTTTTGAGGTGGCATCACTACGCCCGGATTAAGCCGGGGGCTTTGGGGAGTTACAGCCCAGGGAGCCACGAATATTAAGCACCCCCGCCGCGAAAAAAATATATACTCCTGCCTTACAATTGTTTAAACACAATTCTGTAGCACGGTGATACATCTTAGTGTAATTTGGTAATTAAATCCATAGCGGTACTGTGTGTATTACTACCAGTCGTGTGCAGCAATTAAATAGTTTCTGTGAAATTTTTTAAACTTTTGATTAGCTTATTATAATAATTCTTACATCATGTTTAAACAAAACAAAAAAAACTTCCGAATTGAAATAACGAGTGAACAGCAATGCATGCGTTTGGCATCGTCGTGGCATGGATGGTGGTGGCAAAGCAATCAAGGGAAGGAATGTCAATGGAAAAAAAAGAAGCCAACCGTGCTAATCGGAGGTGCGGGAGAAGGACAATAAACTCAACACAACAAAGCAGTTCAATGAAATTAGTTTTCAATCAAGCTGATTTAAGAGTGCATAGCTCCAGTCGCTTCTTAACACCGGAAGGATGAGCGTTTCAGTCGGCCACAGAAGCGCGTCTGAAGGCTTGCGATGCGGTGACCGCCTTAGTTAGATGGCCGGCCAAAAGCCGCTGCTGATGCGAGGCTGAGCACGTAACAGGGCGGAGACGTCATACCTGGCTGCTGAGATGACTCGCCGGCAGTCGAGAGCTCTGACGGAGAGCCGGAGTGGCAGCCAAAGAGAGCTGCAAAATGCCAAGAGGTCGTTCACTGTGGAGACGGAGCAGTTTATTAAGCCTGTGTGCGTGAGCTGTATGGAATGTTGCATCGCCACACCATCAGAGAGATGGTGATGGCTTGAGGAGACCTTCATCCAGCGGTAGATAGATCATGGATGATGCTATAGCCCTTGGTCCACGAGTACATAGATCATGAATGATGATGCATCGATGATGATTATGATATTAGTTCATTAGTTCATAGTTTCATAGTTCATTTATTTGGTCTAGTCCTGTGAGCCATTCGGCTCTTGAAATCGGGTGCAACCGCAACAAACAAAAAACACGAACAAGAAAAACATCTTAAAGTGATTTTGTGACTGTGCAAACAGAAAATACAGGAAAAAAAATATCAAAATATTCCTGAAATAGCACCGTACACCAACGCTGTGTGCAAAAATCCCAGTGGGATGCAAGTCAAATAACAACAACAACAACAACCACAAGACAACTAAGATTAAGGCCATCAGTCTAACTCCGTACTACAATAAACAAAAACATGGCCAAAACAAAAAAAAACTTTTCGAAATCACCAAAATAAAAGCCATAAATCCAATGTAACAGTGATCATAGGGACTGTGACCGAATTTTTTACAATAAACTACATAAATAAATTATAACACCAAAATCTAGAGCCATATTTTAGGCCACTGAATAGCAGTGGCAGCTAGGGTTGTACAACTCCTCTAGAGCAGTTTTGAGTGAAGATCTCATAGGTAGTGATTCAAGTTGCAGTTTATTGGCATATTGACGATGCTCTAGGCCAATATCTATAGATGATGGTAAAATAATTTTGTCGGCCGAATCTCTCTCTCTCTTGCCTACGTGCGTGCGTTTCACGCGAGGAAAGATGGTTTGATGAAATCAGATGGCAGGTTATTAGATCGGGGACCATTTTAGATCGACTCGTCCTCACCTTCTGTGTCATGACACGAACATCGACAGTGCGGGGGGGGGGGGGGGCGTGAAGGCGAAATGCGTCAATCGCAAATTGGGATTTTGGTGTTTGTTGTTGTTGTTGTTTGTAAATGAAAGTGCTGAGCTAGTGCCCTGGCACTGGCCGCCAGAAGATACCTCTCGTTTCTGCTGAGGCATTGGATTTTGCACACACGCAAAGACGAAGGCAAAGACCCCCGTATAGCCTTAACAGAGTGGTGGAGCAAGAGCACCTATGAAGGCCGGAACAGCACACGAGGGGGTGGGTGGCCAGCAACCACGCCCGGCCGCCTTTGTCTCCCCAGTGGCGATGTTTACGCACCACGCCAGGTGTTCATTTGAGGCTGAGTCGACCTAGGGGAGGCCTAGGACCGGTTTAGATTGTCACTGGTGTTGGCCGTGAGCGGCGATCGAACTCGAGTCGCCAGGTTCGTAGCGCAGCGCGCTAACTGCTACACTACCGCTCCCCACCACGCACACACACACACGCAGCACACACACACCGCACACGCACCGCACAAAAAACCGCACACACACACCGCACACACATCTTCGTTATTCGCGAGGGACACATTCAGCAAATTTCGCGGATATTGGCCTACGAAAACCTATCCTTTCAATGAACTGTCTTGAATGAATACGTAAATAAGCTATAAAATAAATGAAAATGATCCCAACACTTTATCTCTCGACGCTTTATGTCATCACATTGTATCATCACATTCTCTCGTCACTTTCTTTCTCTCATCCCTTTCTCTCGCTGCAGCCGTCGTGCAGAGCTCCAGATCCAATTCGCGGAGAGCCAAAATCCCGGATAGCACGTTCGTGAATAACGAGGGAAAGCTTCACCGAGTCTCAAAACACCGTTTCTCACGAGGTTCCTGCCGCCACGTCTTTGCAGGACGGAGCGATGTTTTGCCGTGTGTGTGTGATCCCAATTTAGAAGTTTGCAGGTGTTACATTTCGTTTTTAATCATTGGTGATGTCTGTCCAACAATGTCAGTTACTGCCTATGCTATTTTTTTTTTAGTCGTGCAGTACAGTGGGGGAATGTGCAAACCTCCACACAGGGAAGGAGCCCGAGCCGGGAATCGAACCCAGGGCCCTTTGTCGCTGCGAGGCATGATCGTGAACCATTGTGCCAGCACCCTGCCTGCGCATGCTAGCGCCCTTCTACGTTATGTTCGAGGTTATCTTCGAGGGCGTGATGCAAAGATTAATTAATAATTGAGAAATTGACGGCAATTTGACACGACCGTGCATATGGAACTCGTTATGGTGGGTGGCCAAATTGAAGGCGTGAGCAGCCGTGCATTGTCTTGCTCACACCACTGCTGGCAGACGGGCCTCCAGTTGAGGGAGCCCCTGCACGGCGGGGCATTCGGGCCTCGTCTTTCACGCTGGCGAGACGTATA